TCTAGAACACATCTTCTTTTCAATAGACTCCCGTGACAAGCATTGGTACCGAGACCGAACTGATGACGAACAAATTTCAAGAAGCAATATCGGCTAATAAAACGGAGGCTGCAAAACTTGAAATGAAATATAATTTGACTACATCGTCCATAAGCGATATCAAGCAACGCCAACGAATTGAGGCTAAGAAGCTTGTTGAATCCCAACGAGAGCAGCTGCGTATTTATGAAGAGCAGTTACGCCGTCGGCAATTCGAATTAGTATTACAACATAATAAACGTATGCAAGAGCAAATCGTCCAAGAGGATAAACGTCCGTACAGTCATATTTATCGTGATCCCTATGGCTTTAATGCCCTAACTAAGTGGGTGGTTGGTTCACATGGGACTTTTAACGGACATACTGGTCACGGTGACGGCCATGTTTACCAATTTTTTAATCGGGAAAAACCATTGCACTTCGGAGGACACAGACAGCGCGATAATCAATCACAGCAAGTCAGTCAACAGCACCAAGGTGAGTGGCTTTCAAATGACCTTTAGCGAATAGATTTTTAGCTTTATTGTGTATGCACTGGAAGATAATGTTAACAAATCTCTCAACTATAATAATCTTCATTGAAGATGTCATTATAAGTGTTTGCCTACATCAATTTTCATATTGATACTACGATGAAAGATAACTTGACTAATACAGAATATGAAGATAGACATGTTCTAAAGAAAATAAGTCAGTTGACACGTAAAATATCTATTGAAAAACGCATTGATGAAATGAATACTTCGGTTAAAATACAGGAAGATAAATTAAAGTGACAGAATAACCACTAAGCTTCATATAAATCTTCTGTTACTGCCAAAGCTCGGATAAAATATAAAATCATAGATATGTTAATAATCTGCAATACTTGTTATCCAATGTATTGTAAATCAACTATATTTTCTTTACTTATGAATGCACGATAAGAATGTTAAGCATTGCTTATTCTAAGTATTTTATATAAAAAAGTATTATACATCGATTGGAAGACTTGTATGTGTATATGCCTAATAATAATAATAATGATGAAATGATTGAAAATAAAAATCAGCAAGATTTATAAATTTATAGAATTATTTACTATCGTGCCGAAATATGCACATTATTCGCGATAATTGTGTGGTTTTCATAATTTTCGATTTTACATTAAATTAATTATTATAATTTTAAATTATTAAAATTTTTGCTTTTATCACGAGTTCACGAATTTCAATAAAAAATAATTATCTTTAATACTTAAATTTTAACATTATTAACAATTGTTTAATGAAACAATTTATGTTTTTATATTCATTGATATTTTATAAAGAATATTTTTTTTTTAAATTAAAACATGTTTGTCTATTTATTCTGTATTAAATACTGTTTATAAATACTGTATTTGTCTAAAATATGAATTATATATATTTTATATTTAAAATAGTGAATTTAAAAGAAAAAAAAATAATGTTATCAATAAGTGTATTTTATTCAAATATATATTTCATCAATGAATTTTACAGATTGATATTAGTGATGCTTAGGTTTTCAGTTTTGCACAATAAAACTTCTAATGAACAAAATACAACTTATATCTAACTTTATAAATATTTAAATTTTTAATAATAAAAATCTTTTCGCAATAAAAAATATAAATCTTGTTTTTAAAATGAATGAAAATGAAATTTTTAAATTACTTGTTATTTATTCGATTTAAAATCAGTCATAAAATTTTTACATAATATGTATTAAAAATGTATTTTATTATATATTTTTATTATTAGATATCTATTATAAATGTATGTATTCAAGTGTATGTGAATTTATATTATATTCACTCAATTGTACTAGGATTCTACTAATTAATAATCCAGCTCTATATAATTAAAAAAACAACTATTAGTCAGAATAAGCATCGATTGAATTAAATTATTATCTAATAATTAAGAAAAACATTAATTTTTATCGGACAAAATAAATAACGTCATTATTTATTTTTATACTGTACAGATCTTTACAATGAAAATCTAAACAAAATTTTAATTCTGTTTTTTTTTCTAGTGTATCACAGAAATACTAATACAATTATTTCAAAACAATTTCCCTATAAACATATTTTCTATTTCAATAATCATAAATTATAAAACCAAACTTCAATATAATTAAAAATTTAATTAAAATTGTTTTCTCCAATTTGATCATATAAATATCTATCCTTTGCAATAGAACTAATTAATAGGAGTGTATTTAGAAACAACTTCGTCAATAAATTATAAATTATTATATATTGCAAAAGAATAAATATATATATATATATATATATATAATATAGTTTTTTATATAAATAATTTGAATATAATTATATTAGATAGGATATTATTAAGTAAGTAATTAACTATATTGTATATTCGAAAAATGATAAATAAAAATGTTATGTATCCTAAATTAATCACAGTACTGTAATTCAATTTAATTTATTGATTTTTAACTAATTGAACCTCTCTAAATTAATTTATTAAATATCAATTATTACAACTTCGAATAATTATATAAATTTTAAATGTAATATTTAAATTAAATATCTTAATATAATATTTATATGTAGTAATTTAAATAAAACATAACATTAAATCATTTTAATTTAAAAATATTATTCTGAAGAATAAATTCATGCTCTTCTTCAAACTATCCACATAATTAAAAACTAATTATTTATCATTTGTTTAATAAAAATACTTTTCTTTATATTTCTTACAATTATTTTACTTTATACATGTTTTGTATAATAGTTGTTACTAGGACAAAATTTTGATAAAAAATCTGCTAATATCTTACAGTAATCATTAAACAAATAACAAAAATTAATTATTTATAATTTATAATATATTGTAATTGCTATATTACAAATAGAATAAAAATGGTATATAAATATATATATATATATATGTGTGTGTGTGTGTGTGTGTGTGTGTGTGTGTGTGTGTAACCTAATATATTCGTAAAATAAATCTTGTCTCAAGGAATATGTGATATTGAACATTGTACATTAATCTTTTAATAGTTGAAGATCATTATATTTAAAGACATCAAGTTATTTCATTTCCATTACGTAATTAATGGTCCAAATGATTGATAATAATATTATTTAAAATACAGGTTATATTCAATATTCATAATTATTAATGATATTTTTATTATGAATAAAATCTATTCAAAATTTTAACTCTTTTTTTCTTTTTTAGAGATAATACAAAGACATTCTATGAACACTACAATAAATTTTTCTTTACTAACCATTATATATTTTAAAAGATTTTGGTTTAAAAAATAATCCATTAAAAGAAAAAATCTACAGAAAAGTATCATATACAATATTAAAAGAATAATTAATCAAGCATGTCAAGATTTATAAATGTTTTATTGGATTTAGTTTCCGACGTAAAATTCCATCCAATATGTATTTCTCAAAAGAAATTTATCATAAAAACTAAAAGTATAAATTAAATGAGATTGAAAAATGAGTAAATTATTAATTCGTCCAACAGCAGCTTCAGTATGACTTAGCAATGATAATTGTGAGATAACGAAAACTTGTGGGTAAAGTTCTTCTAAATCAAATACATCTTTTCTCTGACTTCCTTTTCACTACTCACTGAAATCGATCAATTTTGTATTGTGCAAATGATGGAAGGCATTCTATTTTCAGAATATTATTTCTAAATAACTCAGCTATTTGCAAATTGCACAAATATTTGAATTTATTATCATCATTAAAATCCATGGTCCGTTACGTAACGGATTTAGTTTCGCTTATCTATTTCTAGCATTATATATTTCATAAGCATCTTTCTCTTCAATAAATTTAGCGTTCAACCTTCTGTAATTACATTTAGAAATATAATTTAGATAATCAAATGAAATTATGATAGTCGATTATACCAATGTATAAAAATTGAATTCAGCTCCTAAATATTAGCTGTAAAAAACTGATTATAAAGAATAATAGACGTTACCAATAAATAGTTCCGAATTAATGAATGAATTAATTAATTAATTAATTAATTAATTCAGCTTTTCCAATTGATTTAACTATAAAAGTTAATCGACTTTGAAAAACTCAAATTAAATTAATGTCCAGATAGGTAGATTTTTTTTTTATAGGATCGTCATAATTATCGATTATTTTACAGAGCCAAAATCTTCAAGACCGGTAAAATCGGCATTACCCCTGATCAGCACGAGCACTACCACCACCACCGCCATGACCACCAGCACCAGTAGTCGTACGAGCATCACAAGTACAAGTACAGCAAGACCTACTCGTTATTATGAGGTACACGAGGTGGTCGACGAGGGGATCAATACCTTTGCCTGGCCCAACTGGTTCGGTATCATCAATGCCCTCGACAAAGCCACCTATACTCGGCCCGATCGAGTGCAAAACAATATCGCACCAAAGAAAGTGAAGGTCAAATTGAATAAACTGCCGCCTCAGAATAAAATCGCTTCGAGAGATCAGGACGACTATAAGAGTAAATACGCGCAGGCGAGAAAAAATTATAATGCCTCGGAGGCGGAGCTGACGGGAAATGAGATCGACAGCGATTTAGAATCAAGCGAGAAAAGGCTGACTATGATCGAGAGAGGTGAACAAATTCTATTACCTAACAACTAAGGATTACGCTATGACTTGACCCCTTCAGCTTTTTTTACACACATGAATGAGACTTGATGATTTTTAGATTGATGTAAAATATAAAGTACTAGCTCTAATTTCCGATCGATCTGATATGTTTTAGAAAAATTTTGTGAAACTTAGAATGAAAAAATTTAAAGCATCGACTTCGATTAATACTTTAATTATACATAAGAAAGGATTGGGTAACATATGATTGTATAGTAGTGGAGACTTAAGACTACTAACTTCTATCAACTTCTTTATTACAATTATTTTTATACATGCTTTTTTATAATATATTTTTAAAATATTTTTTAGTTGTCTTCCATTTTGGTATTTGTAATGTTACCACATTGGTTTTTCTTTTTTCTTTTTTTTTTTTTTTTTTTTTTTTTTTTTTTTTTTTTTTTTTTTTTTTTTTTTTTTTTTTTTATCTTTTTTTATTTTTATATAATTCGTAAATTCGAATCATTTAAGTAAATGTATTTTTTATATACTTTCAAAATTATTTTATGCAATATCCATTTTAACAAGATTTTATATCAAAAGCATAGTTGATATTAGATTTAAATTGAAGACTTGAATTTTTGCATTAATTTATTACATTAATATTAGCGTGTTTAATTATAATTTCTATATTAGAAATTTTTCGATAAATTATTATATTCATGGAAGAATTATATTGTTTAAGAATAAGTTTATATAATTTGAAAATTTTTAATCTTGCCTTACGGAACGTTAATATTTACGATATAAACATTTAGACTAATGCTTGCGTTTAAAGAGATGTCGCATTTATTACATTCACGTTTGATAAAATAGATGTATTTGGAACTGTAAACTTGTAAAATATATTATTATATACAGTCATTATAAAATCCTCCTAATTAAAAAGACGAGTGAATTTGTATTGCTTAACCACGAAGATTCAATGCTAATAATATTTCCTTAAATTTCTTGACTTTTTAATTATTTGCCATAACATAAAGTTTGTAGACTATGATATATGAAATAAAAGAAAATAATTTGCGCAAAAATAGTTGTATTTGTAAATCCTTTATGCATTAGAATGCTGAAATCATGCAGCGGTTTTCAAAGAAAATAACCCCTCGATTCTAGTGAAATTATGATAATTTATCACGAACGGTGTTTTAAAATTCTTCCTTACAAACGGTACGCCATCACTTACATCTCCAAACACATCATCTTTTTACAAGAGCAACCAATACTCAGCAATACAAAATAACATATTCAACGAAAACTAAAAAAAAAAAAAAAAAAAAAAAAAAAAAAAAAAAATCGTCAAGTCTTTGTTTCGTATCGTTAAAAGAAGATAAAAAAAAAAACACAACTCGGACTGCCATTCGAACTGCCAATTTGCATTCTTTATCATGCAGATAGATTGAAAACCCGTTTTTTAAACAATAACAAAGAAAAAAAATAATAATAAGCTTGGAAAGAGTCACGATCACTGACCACTACAAAGAAAAGTATAAAAATGAAAAGAAAACAAATACAGAAGAGGACACTTGATCAAGCTCATCTTATCATCGTGCTTTCGTTTTTTAGTAAATGCAACCGATTATTTTTACCTTCTTAAGTCTCCTCGCGTAAAGCCTGACAATAAAAGCGCATGAAAATCTCTCGAATAAATAAGCCAATTGATATGCGCATGGGCATGGCAGGCGACGCTTACATACACACATGCATACGTATGCATACACGCGGCATGCAACATTATTTGCAAAAGACATGGCAGACGGACAACCCATGTACTTTTCACACTTTGTATTATATTGCACAGATATATACACACGTACAACATAGCTTTAAGCTTATATTATTACTTTGCGATTACATAAAAGATAGCGTTAAATGAGAATGAAAATTCGCCACGTTTTTTTTTTTTTCCTTTTTTTTTTTTTTTTTTTTTTCTTTTTTTTTTTTTTTTTTTTTTTTTTTTTTTTTTTTTTTTTTTTTTTTTTTTTATAAATATGTATAGTTAAATTTATAAGCATCTTACGGCGTTTGCAAAATTCACGCATAAGTTGTGCAAAAATTATCACGAAGAAAAGGCACTGAAAATGTAGTTGGATAAATTGTTTAGCAGGTTTTATGTTGTGAGTTGTATATGTAATTTTTGCAATTTTTTGAGATTGATACTACTAAATTATTCAACATTACGTATATGTGTTTCCAATGAAAATCGTGAACAGCAATATCAATAGAATTTTGAAAATAGTATTATAAGAAAAACATTAATTAATTTGTTTTTAAATTTTTATTTTATATTTATACAGCGAAAATTCTAATTCGAATTTTATATCATATCGTATAATTAATAATTTGGAAATTTAATAAAATTATATACGGAATAATACTGATTTCATTGTAAGAATTCAATATTAAATAATTAAAATTAATTTACTTTCCATGAATGTAAATACAAATATTTAATATAAAATTTTATATAGTTATATAGAATTTCATTTATTTATAAATTTTCAGCTATTTGTAATTTACTGCAATAAAAATTCTACAAAATTTATGCTAAATAAGTATTATTTAAAGAATAGACTAAACATTTATTGCCAGAGAAACCCTAAGCTCATCAATCTTAATATGAATATCATATTTTGTTAAGAAATAAATGTATCTTGAGATTTCGCTTATTATTTATATATATTTTTTATGGAATTTTAAAGTAAATAATATTATATTTCTTTCCATAATTGACAAAAAAAAAAAATTGCCATCAAAAGATTCAATTATAATTCATAATTATTGTAATTTGTAAACAATTTTATTCCATTTCAAATATAGTGGAAAACGTTTTAATTACATTCTATTATTAATTAAATTAAATAATAAAAATTATTAATTAAACAATAAATTTAGAAAAATACATTTTGATAATGGAATGAATCTATATGATTTCCTATATATTTCAAATAAAATAGTTTCATAATAATATCCGTGACATTTAAATGTGAAAAGTGTGAAATATTTATTAAAAAATTTCATCGTTTTATATATTTCATTAAAATTTAACTATAAAAATTTGAATATTCATAAATTTCTAAATGATTTTTACGTAATTTCTCTTAATCAGGAAAGATTCAGTATATAAATATCTTTATTCATTCCACTAAATCATCATTGGTCCACAAAATATTCTATGGTTTATCATTACAAGGAATCACGAAGAATTAAGTATTTTCTGTTATGTAGAAACATAATTAAGCTTTAAACTTTCATTTTATCCTATGGGTTATTAATTAAATATATTTGTTTTATAACATCTAGATAAATGCATATGCTTGTACTGGAATATATAAACATATTTTTACATTCTTATCCGATTTATTGTTCTCAATTAAATCATTATATGCAAGGAGTATATTATTTAAAATACGATATACAATGCAATATAGAACAACAACATTTGCCAATATAAGCTACTCATGTAGTTGCATAAAAGTTTTTTTATATCAATTTAACAACGAGCTTTATTAATTATATTGAGCTTTTGTATTATAATGGAACCATCTAAATATCATCATATATTCTAACTTATGTAATATAAAAGTAGTAAATTTAATTAAATATAACAACACTTGCAATATAGTAGATGCGTTTTCACATAATTAATAAATTTTCAAGAACTTTCATTCCAATAATAAAATTTATGTACGTCAACCACAATACTTACTACGATTTATTTAACGTAATAAATATTGTTACGTTATAATGCACATAATATTTATAATTTTGTTACAAGTAGAAGCAATATATTACATATTTTTCATAAATTTTGTATAATAAATTAATTATTCCATAATCATTTTGATACATTATATTTTAGGCTTTTTTTTTTTTTATTTTAAAATTTTTATCTATCAAGTGTATTATTATTTTTAGTGTAATACTTTTATCTATATTCCTTTTACTCGGGCAAATTATTCTATTGTTTATTATGTATATAAATACATCGAAAAATTTTATTCGATAATTATATGCATTTATTTTAAAACGAGTAAGAATATAAAGTTATTCACCTGGAATCATAAACTAAAATTTCTATGTATATCATTAGCAGGACTAATAATTCAATTTCAAAATTATGAAAACGTAAAAATATAGTTTCTAAAATTACATAAGAATAAATTACTTCAATTAAAAAAATAATGTTATTTAATAATGAAAAAATATTTTACTGCTCGAATAGTTTTATTAAAATTTCACGTATTTTTTTCTAAAATTTATATCTCTAATGAAACGCCTTGAACGTGTCATACATACACTTATATAATATAAGATGATATTAGAAGTGAAGGTTAAAGTATAAAGCCATAACGATCTATAGCAAGAAGGTAAAAAACAGAATCCGTTACGTCATTAATTTCTTTTTAAGAATTGGAACAGCGTGGTAAAGCAAAATTTGATTATACCACCATGTTAAGTACATTTTATAATTGTAAAGTAACATAACAGTGCTTTAAAGTAGACTATTTTCTAACAAGTTATCATATTATCTAAGATTTATAACGATCAAGTAAATTATATCCGATCATAATAATTTCAAATGTGAACCTTTGATCTTCTTGTTCACATACACTAATTACGAAGATGAAATATTTTTTTTTCCTTTCAAGTTGCTCACAATCTTACGCATTCATAATTTCGTTGTATAAATATATAAGTAAACAATACAGCGATGTTTTATGGAAAGTAGGAAATTTTAAATATTTCTTAAAAAATAATTGTACATCCTCCATTTAAAAAGTTTTATAATTATCGGAGAACATATAATTCGTATTTTGAAAGTCTCATTTAATAAAATTAAAAAATCAGTTAAAGCACGTATGAATTTAATTTGAAAATCGATATTATCATTAGTGGAAAGACTTCTTTGTTTCACAATTAAATGTATTTCTAAACGCACTTGTAATATCAATTGTTTACCAAAGTGTGAGCTAATGTACATTCTATTCGTGATTAATCCATTAATTGTTACTGCTATATAGAAAATAATTTTATTTTACAATGTCTTGTCTACGCTGTATTTTCGACCGTTACTAGACAGTGACAAAAAGTTTATTCGATTTAATTAATTTTATGTCAATCGTAATTAGGAGCACATAATCCTACTTAGAAACTTTTAATAATTATTATGATGTGTAATATAGTTATCATAGATAAGAATTGGTAATAAAAAAAATTATGTAAAGAATATATAATTCATACATATTTTTTCATATTATCTATAAAATAAAATTTTTTCTAATTATACAATTAAAATTT